CTCCATCTCTCCATCTCCCCTCACCGGGGACCTCCCTAGCCCTCAGGATACACATCTTCGCTTTACACCTCCCCTCCCTGTGCCACAGCCCAACACCCCCCCCCCCAAGTTGGTGCCAGTGCACCCACCGTGCTCTGCCCACAGCCCTGCCCACCTCTCCTCCAGCCTGATCCTTCCGGCCGGTGGTAACACCGCACGTCACCCTACGGTCGGCCTTGGAGAGCCCTTCACCCCCACATCCATCCATCCCTCTGTAGGTCTTGCCTCCTCCACCTCCGAAATCTTTGCAAATCATTTCCTCCCATTACCCTCCCCCAACAGCCTACAGCTTCTTCCCTGGGGCCCAGCAAGGCCTCCCGCCTCCTCCCAGGGGCCCTCCCCACTCAGGGAGCTCCCACCAAAACTCCCACCGACCAACTCACAGGCTGCTCAGAGCGCTGGCCGGCCCCACGCGTCCTTAAACTGGTGGGCACTGTCCCCATCGGACGGCCGCTTCATGAAGCTGTGTCCCCTTCCCCGGGTCACCAGCCGTGGGATGCGCCTCGGCCTGAGCAATGGCTTTCGGGACAAGCAAGCAGCCTTCCGTCACTCGTGCACGGTCGGAGACACGCCTGGTGTCAGAGGCCTTGGTGGGGACACAGATGTCCCCTGAGGGTCATGTAGGTGGTGTGTCCACCAGGGTCCAGGCAGGGACACAGCGCTGGGCGGCATTTATTCTGGGAACTCAGGAAGGTCCAGGAAAGGGCGTCAGAGGTCCCGAGGAGGGGCGGCCTGGGCGGGAGGGGAGGGTGCTGTTTGCTGGAGGGGCGGGGCCTATTTGCCGGAGTGGGGGGAGGAGGCTGGTGGCCAGGAAGGCTCTTGCCTGGGACGGTCAGGGAGCCCCCAGTGGGGAAGAAGAGCATAACTCCTGGGCCCTGGTCTCTGCGGCCGAGCCCCCCCCCCCACCCCCACCCCGGCTCAGGGATCAGAGCCCATCGATCACAGACACCTGCAGCCTCACCAGGGAAGTGGATTCTGGGACAGGGAGGCCCCGGGGAACCAAACTGACAGGAGGACAATAGCCCCCTTTTCCTGTCTGGTGGGAGGAGCTATGGCGTGAGACCTCAGCAAAGGTACTGGGCGAGGGGGGAGGGGAGAGCAAGCGCTTGCCGGGGACCCTCTTCCCACTGACAGAGTGGACAGGCGGGGAAGGGAGGCTTGGGGGTCCTTCCTGTGAGTGGGTCCTGTGAGTGGGTCTCGGACTCCATCCCTGTGGTCCACCTGCAGGATGACTTGCTCCCCCCCATGTCCAGCTCAGAGAGGGCAAGCAACTTGCCCAAGGACACACAGCGGGGCAGCACGGAGCCTGGCGAGCAGCCCAGGGGGCCCTGATCCCTTATTCTTGCCACGCATGGGCTGCAGCGTCCAGCGACAGGCATGCCGGACGGCGTTCCAGGCCAAAGCCATCTGGCCCCGCACCCCCTCCCCCCAGCACCTCTGGGCGCCTGGGAAACAGGCGGGCCACCTGGAGGGCGCTGATGAGCAGCAGCCCTCTCGGCCCCGGGCGAGCATTGGTTTCCATCATCCTGACAGCAGCAAAGCCCACGTTGGGACACATTTGCTGCGCAACAAGCATCTATTCTTAGAAGCAAATATTTTAGCAGTTAAGGCCGGAGCTCGAATGACGGGCGAATAATGAAGGCAAGATGCCGTGTCCTCCTGACCCACGAGGAGGGGAGAAATGCCTCCCGCCCCGCGGTGTCCGGGCTGCCAGCTGGCCTTGTAAGTCTCTGAACTACACGGTTTGGGGGACATAATGCCCCTTCACGGTGACCCCGCTTTCCCACGGTCCCCTGGCCGCAGCCCCGGGCGATGACACGGAACCCCCGTCCAATGGGAGCGAGGAGCAGCCTCCTTTCCTCGCGTGAGCCCGAGTCGCCAGGCCTTCCGCAAACAGCCCCTCTAACTGCTGGGCCAGCTGGCGCCTTGGTTTACACGAACCCGGCTGCAGCCACCCGGTTAGGAAATCTTCACTAAGTTCCACGCCGGCGCGTGGGGTGGGCAGTGGGGGTCTCCCCCGGGGCTGGGCGGGCAGGTGCGAGAGCAGGATGGCGCGTGTCCCTGGGAATAGGGGTGCCGCGTGGCTGAGCCCCTACTCTGGGCCAGGCTCCTAACAGGACACTCCATCCTCTTGATCCATCTCCCCCCACCCCCCATTTCACAGACAAGCAAACAGGCTTCAGAGGAGTGAATGACGCACCCGCGGTCACAGGGCCTGCGGATCCGGCTGGCGGGACCCAGGGCCCTGGCCTGGCTCCCCCCCCCGCCCCAGCCCAGATAGGGTGGCACCTGGGCTGAAGGGGCTGGGATGGCCACGCTCAGTCTAGTTGATCCTGGAAGTGCATCTTCGAAGCGACTTTTCCAACACCTTCTCTAAGGTATATCGATTCGCCGTGGCTGATACATTGATTTTTTTCTTATCTTTTATTCTCAGCATTTACCACACGATATGGCCAATGCTCGCTAAGTGCTTGGTGAAGACAGCGTATTCGCAGCCGGCCCGGCTGCTTCCTCACAATGGACAGTTTCTGAGGAGGAGAAGCAAGATGGAGCTGGGGGTCTTCAAAGGGGCTGACGCTGGGCCGTGGCCACGGGGCTCGGGCAGGGGTGTGGCAGGGAGGTCTGGCCACGCGTTCTGTCTCCCCTGCTCTCTTTGCTCGGAAGGACCCGGAGCTGCACAGGATGGACGACCCTCCCTTCCAGAACCGCCTTGCCCACTGTCCTGGCTACCGCTGCCCGCTGCCCGCTGCCTGCCTGTGGGTGTCCCTGGAACACTGGCTCCTGCGCTCACAGGGGCATGAAGCACGCGTGCTCCTGCACGGCGGGGTGCACACACCACAGTCGGGCAGGCCTCTCATGGGGCTGAATATGTGAGCGCTGGAGCCGGAATGGGCAGTTGGGTGGCGGCAAACATTTGACGACCAGTTCTCCAGCGGGAAACAAGCCTTAATCTGTAGCACTTGCTGCCCATTTCCCTGGTGTAAATCCTGCCACCGCGATGTCACTGGACTGGGAGTTGGGAGGGGATGCGGGGTAGCCACCGCGCGGATATAATAGTTGTCCACACTCAGGAGCAGAGAGAGTAGCAGATGTGGCAACACCCTGAGGAAGGGAAGGGTTTCCGGTGTCTATTACTTGTGTGTTTATATAGTTAATTTAACTGTAAGTTGGTGTCATTTCATTTTTGTCGGTGCTGTGTTTAACAACGGGCTCCCCCAATTCCTGCAAATCCAGCCCGCAGGTCCTGGGGGCTGGGGTGAGGTGGCCTCTGAACCCCTCGGGTCCGCTCCTGGCCCCGTTTCCACGGGCATTGGGGAGCGTTAAACTCTCCAACCTAAGAAGCGAAGGCGTAAAGCGAGTCGCAGTTCTCTCGGAAGGAGACGTGATTGAAAGTCCATTAAAAATGTATTAAGCAAACGGCGGGGGAGAGAGCTGTGCAGCCGAGAGGAACGCCGGGAGCGGAGTCCGGGAAGTGCGCGTGGCTGTGCGGAAATGACTTGATTCCCGCCTGTCTTAGGGGCACAGTGAGATGAATGGGCAGCGCACAGGAGAGGAGACACAGGAGTTACCAGATGGAAGGGAAGGGGTGCGACAGTCAGAGGAAGCGGGATCGCAGGAGGGTGCTGGCGGCAGGCTGCAAAGTGAGGCCCCCCCCCCCCAAGCAGCTGCTGCGCACAGCCCTGTGGTGCTGACGTACAGAACCATAAAGCTGTCCGCCCCTTGACTCACAATCCCCCACCTGGGATCTATCCAGGCAACCACTCGCCCAGGACACCCAGCCACAGTACAGGTGCTGGTGGCCGCCCTAGTGTGTCCCTGCAAATCGTTTGTCATCGTAACAAACCAGCAGCTGTATGAATACTTCCCTGGGGAGGGT